AGATTAGATGATGAAATAATGCTTTTTCCTAAAAATAGTCATTTACAAAACCACTGATTTAAATGCTCCTGAGATTAAATTAGAGGACCTTTGATAAAACTGAAAATTTGGAGAGCTTCTGAGTGCATCATGTGGACATCTTGGAAGGCAGAGAAAAGTCACAGAAAGCTGCATACTTACCATTTCTTAGGAGATGGAAAGCTGAAGCATTCYCTCCCCACCTCTTGGTGGTTGCTCTTTCTATAGACAAGACATTCTCTACTTTGGGAGATGAATAGCCATAGGCTGATTAAGCTTCAATAAATGAAATACCTATTTCAGTTGTTTACCCTTCCCATTGCTATCCTGGTAGGGGGAATACCATCAGGGCCGCCCGATGTTTACAACGTGGCTGGGTGATACAAAGACAATGGATGTGGCAAGAAGTGATAAGTGCATAATATTAGAAAAGAGTAGCAGAAATACAACCCATTAACACAAATCTGCAGGTAGATCTGAACAAAAGCTGATGAATCCATTCATAACATGTTTCTTTCTCATAAGACAAATACAATTTTGTATGTCTCTTCTACATAATGAACTCACTTATTTGTCAAATGAAATTCACATTTATCTCTGCTCAATTTTGCCAGCAGCTAGAATGGCTTGGCCAAATGGAATGATTTTTTACAAGCAAAGCTGAATCCTAGAAGCAGGTGAGGATGAGATCCAACACTGTACGTGGTCAACCACAAAATGGCCAAGTGTTCCTGAGGTCATGAAATTATACTCAGGACTTGCTCTGATGCAACTGCCTATGATCCTAGAGACAGGAGATCAAAATCAAAAGAGAGAATTTCACATCTTTAGACCTGCAACAGCAAAAGAACTCTTAAGATAAATCAGTGTTTCTTGATTTACATTCTTGAAAAGGGAAGTTTTATCACCATTAGAAAGCAAACGGTTTCATCATCTACCAGAGAAATATTTCCAATTTTTTTCCAAATTCTCCGGGGTATGCAGAGCAAATAGTCAATTTCACTTTAACAGCTTAAGTTCAGAAACCTGGAGCTGCAGAATCAACAATGAGTCAAGCCAGATGTGGAAAAGGCCGAGCGGATAGTGAGTTTTCCTAGGTAGACACTGTTGGGAGGGAGCATTGCATCAGATGACAGCAACTTATCAGAATCTTTGTAGGATTTCTTTTAAAAAGCATATTATGTAATTTAATATATTTGAAAATAATAATAAAAATTAGTGCATTTATGCTGCAAACTATAAAAAGCAAGTTTTATAAAATCTTCACTGGTAGATATATTTAATCAGAATCTTTGAACAAGTTAAAATTTGCTCATAAGAAGTATAGAATTATTGGGCCACAGCATTTTGCCAAAGGTTGTTAAATGGTCAAGGGTTCTCTGTTCATCAAATTACTCATTTGGCTGTTCAAAAAGGTCTATTCTGACTGCTCCTTTTGTGTTAAACTGAAGATTTGTACCCGGAAGAGATATCAATTTAAGACATAAATTTTTTGTTTCAAGAAAACATTTAAATTGTACATTATTTCCTTAACACATGAAAATGTTCCACCTATGACCATATAATGTTATAATGAATTCTGTGGAAAATTTTAGGGATGGATGTTCAGATGGATAATGTATCATTTATGTGTACCTAGTGCACATATTCTATTATAGTAAGAGACCACATTTGTTCCCCAAATGATTATTCCATTCGTGGTGTCATCTCTTCCTTTGCTGTTTTGATTATATGAAATATGAAGTYTATAACTTATAAAAATAGGCACATTATTAGTGCAAGGAAACAAAAGTTCTCCTGGGAATGAAAAGGAATACAGTGTAGTATACTGAAAGAAAAATTTACTTCGGTGTCCCTTGGGAAATAATTACACTTCCCATGATCAGTTTTATTTGGGTTGAAGGATTTGATCTAATACACTGCATGCTAAAAAGCTGCCTGACTTGCAACTGTTTATGGGTTCATTTTCTTGGAGGCAGGAAGGATGAAGATAGAATTGTACTAAAAAGATGTAAAAAAAAAAATAGTGAAATGGAGGAACATCCAACATTTATCTCAGCATTATAGGACAGACAAATATTCTGGCTCTGTGTCCTCTTGGGACATTAAAAAGAGAATGTTGCATTACCATAGGGTTGACATTTGCAAGAGTTTGAATACTGGGTGTCTCTTTCATCTGGATGAGGATACCAACTGCACAATTATATCTTTTTGGTTTTTATTTCTTCAAAACATGAAAACAAAAAGATGAAGTCAATGACAATGAGAGAAAACACTGCATACAGACTATGCTGTATCACTAGTGATTAAATCAGAAACAATTAGAAACTTTATTGGTCTGTGTCAATATGTGTACCATTTATAAGGAACAGCACAATTAGTGCATTTCCCCCCTAAAGCTGTGCACAATACACACAAAATAAGATAATCAAACAAATCAAATGAAATAATTTTACACAACTATAATAATAACAACCCTGAATAATGAGAATCGTATTTTCTCTATAGCATGAAAACTGAAAAGGCAAACAAACCAAAATGTTTCAAAATTGAAATCCACCAACAGCAAGAATTTCTTAAGGATTCTTTTAAAGTGAAGATTCACTATGGGATTACTGACATTCCAAATATGGCTAGAAATGAGTGCAAAATCTTTCTAAAGTTTAAATACCTTGTATCCCTTCCCTTATTTACTTGGTGTTTCTAGGCTAGCTTTCCATTTTTTAAATCTTGGTGGTGGTGGGGGGGAGGAGTGGGTTAGAATGTGTCCCTATAGCAGTCACCAGTGTTGGTTGTTAATGACAGGTCAGAGATGGGTCCTGGAAAAGTACTGTTGCCACAATGGTAAAAACTGAGGTTAACTGGGTCTTCTCAGTGATGTGCATCACCACATGATTGCCCTTCTTGGTTTAAAATGGGGAGACACATGTATCTGCAAGTTGGCCAAGCATAAGGAGGGTATTCTTCAAATCTAAACTTTACATCCTCTTAAAGACAATCTTTGATATTTGGACAATTTTATCTGTACAATTATGTGTTTATATTAAACATTTTCATAATTGTGTTCATCCTTGCAAGATAAAACTGTTCCCATATGGTTGTGTTAACTTTTACTTGTGGAAATAATAATTGGATTCTCTGTGTAACCTGCTGAGGGCAGGAAGCTGGGCTGCCTTGGTCATGCCTTGGGCCCCAGGAAATAGTATACTACCTGGCCTGTTGAGTGGACGACCAGCATTTCATTATTCACTCCATCACCAAGCATTTAATAAATGGTGAATGGTCATGATTACTGAGTAGATGAAGAGAAAATAGACCTCAACAATGTTTCTTTTTTCGTATCTTTGAATGAATACAGAGGGCCAGGGATGTCTCCGGCTTGGATTTCCTTAGAGACTGAGAAGTCTCTGAGAGGTGAACAGTCATTCCAATTTTGCTCATTAGTGGAATCACTTTTTGGAATGTTGGGTTGATCTACACTCTTTGGTATTTTGAAATAGAAAGAGCCATTCCTTTTCAAGGGTTAAAACCTCCCAGTGCAATCCTCTGGGAGGCACTAATCTCATTTAATTACCTTCTTTTCATCATAAGTAGAGGAGAAACACTTAAAGGCCCATTGGTTATCTTGGCTTCTTTCCTACTTGGGAACTACTGATATAATCAGAGGAGTCTGGACTGGATGGTGAAAGAAACAGGACTCAATAATGCCTTTTACATAAAAAAATAAAATGAACAGACCAGTGCCATCTAACATCTGTGCCAGACAGAGCAGATGTGCAATAAATACTTTGGGGGAAGGGGTGTTGTGGACATGGTGGTTCTGAAAGCCAGGCATATCCCACGTATTCACTTCTCTCCAACACCTTTCTCTTTGGCCTTCCTGAATTAATGGGTGATTCACAGAGGCCTCTGATATGTTCCACGTGGCTAATTTTCCATAAAGATCTTTGTAGGTTGCCTGCTRGCCTCTCAAAAACTTTAGCTTTTCCCCACAAGACTGTTATTGCTTCTTAGAATGAATGTGCATGAAAAAATGAGCCATTTTTCTCCTTTTATCCYTAGTAATAATCAAACTCAATAACAACATGAAAGCAACAACTCAGGTGAAAAGAAAGCTCACTTATGTCTTCAATGTCCAATCAACGTTGCTGAATGGGAGAACAGTATATGCTATACTCTACTATATACAGATACGCTTTGTTTTGTTTTGTTTTTCATCCATGCACTGTGTAACAGGTATCACAACAACATTCCCAAACAGGCACATGAAGAAGGAGCAAATGTTCGGTAGCGACTGGGACTGGATTGTGCGAGCCACGGATACTTTTGAAAATAAAACTGACGGACAATCCCAGGCAGCAGCAGCAACATGGGACTGGGACACATATACTGATGCAAATGGAAAAGGATGATGTGCTTTTTGAATGGGATTGTTCTTCCTGTTCGCATGGAGAGTGGGTAGGCAGGAGGAGGGCTGGGATGGGACACCTGGGAAGTTACCTGGGTTGGAATGAATAGGGCCTTGTGAATCATAGTCCAGAGTTCAAGAGATAAGAAATAAAGGGTTTTGCATGTTCCTGGGAATCTAGGCACATTATCCTTGTACCTGTTGAACAAGAGTGCCAGGCACCACATCCTTCAATAACAGACTATATCAAGAACCATCGCTTTTCCTGGCTCCGTCCCAGCTCCCATGCTTCTTCTTGGAGGCAGCGTCCGTCTACTCACATTGTGGAGAGAAGCATGAAATTTGGTAATCGAGTGAAGAAGTGCTGTGCTTCTTTCTTCTTCCACGCCCAGATCCTTTCTTAATCCAAAGTCATTTTTAAAGTGTTTGGAGGAGGCGAGGGAGGGAGGGGGTATCTTAATGATTTCAATTTTTACCCCAAACCCATTTACATTTGAATGGGTTATCACCTCTCACAAAGGGAAGCGAAAACCCTGACCCTCCCAACAAAACAAAACAAAAAGCAAAGGCAAACATCAGCCACCTCCTCAACCCCACTGAAAACAAAACAGAAAAACAAGAAAACAAATCAAAGCCTTCACAATTTATGAACCTGGAGAGAGTACAGCTCTTGTAGGCYGAGCTGCAAATATGGCCCTGCCTCTGCGCCTTGTTCAGCATGATGATGCCCTGGGAATGGGAGGTGATGGTTTCTGACTTTGGCCCTAGTACAAAGTATGCTCTTGAAGCTGGATTCCATCAGCAGGTAAGTGAACATGACAAATGTCAATTTCCTCTGTTCATTATACATAATTTTTATGTATATATATATATGCATATATATATATAAATTTACTATATTTGATGTTCCTTTAGAAGCCTTTTATGTGGCAGTAGGCCTCCAGGGAGGAGAAGAAAATGTACAAGAGCCACAGGAGCACAAAGAGGGAGGATGTAAGGAGCTTGGCAGTCCGGGGCCCACCGAGCTCACCTCCGATTTCTGGTCTCCGCCGATACAGCAGCACCCCCACATTGATGAAAGCAAAAATGGTGAAGAGAGTGACAGAGAAAGCTAGTGTGCCAGGAGACACTTTGAACTGTTCCCCATTGGCTGCGTGGTAGATGGCAGCGATGGACCAGGCCACGCCGATTCCCAGGAAGACGTTCACTGCATTGCTGCCTGTGACGTTACCTATGGATGCATCAGCATACTGGTCCTGGGTGGCTGCCACTTTGCTGGCAAAGGTGTCTGTAGAARAAGAACAAAAAAAGGCAATGACACTCAGCCTTTTAAAGATGTCCACAGAGTGCTGGGAGCTTCTAGTGTGGGGTCTAGAATGAAACCGTGGTATAAACCCAGGAACCCAGAGTGAGCTTTGATGTTCCTTTGATTCACGTGGTGAGAACAACAGGATCTAGATATCAGGAACCAAGGGCTTGGTGCTGTCTATGTTACTGAAGAAGTGATATTCCTCCAGTTCTTTATCCACAGATACCAACATTTTTTGTATACTGAGCTTGCAGGGCAGTATTTTTCAGAGAGTAATCTCAGGCCACCTACACCAGAAACCAGTGGGTCCTTCTATGAGGTGAATGTTATAAGCTGCATTGGGTCATAATCACTGGGGCTGAGGAATCTATTTTAACAGTATCCCAAAAGATTCCAGGTCACTACAGGTGAAAATGGGTTCTGGTAGGGATTACAAAAAGATGCTGTGTCAGCCGCTCTTGTTTATAGATGAGAAAGTGAAACTGTCAGGAGAGATTTCCAAAGATTCAAGAGCAAGTCAATAGTAGAATTGAAAAGAATCACATTATAATAATAGCTGACATTTGCCTAGAGCCTTTGGATAGGAAAGTGGATTCACCTATATGACCACATGGATTGTGACGACGATTTTATGAGGTGAAGAAATGAGGCTTAGACATGATAAGTAATGAGTGTGAATCACACAACTGCCAAGAGTTTATGGAGGGCTTGAGCTCTGTTTTTCTGTCTTCAAGGCACATGCCTGCCAATTGAACCATCTCACCTTTCTCCGTGCCATAAGTACCAGTGAGCATCCTCAAAGCTCTTTGTTCACCAACAGTCCTGAGTGTATCTTTTTATGAATATAGGGAAGTCAGGGTTCACTATTGAGGGTGGGTTGTAGACCACAGTAACTTACACCTTTTGATGAGTAGAGCACWGAGGTTTTATCTTGCCTTTACAACTGAGTGTGTGGTCCTGGGCCTCAATTCCTAATCTGTGACAATAAAATACTGATAACCACTTCAGATTGCTACTGTCAAGTTGAAATATTATGTGTAAAATGCCTTCTATGCTTCTTGGTAAGAGTAGCTCTTATTGTTGTTTTGGAAGATAATGTCAACAAGGCAATCTAGAGTAGTTTAAAAGCTGGGATAGGATCTGAAATATCCCCGTTTATTAAGCATGTAAACAGAACTTGCAAGAAACTAAATTTAGGGCTAGAGGTGTAGCTCAGTGGTAGAGTACTTGACTAGCATTTGGGAGGCACTGGGTTCAATCCTCAGCACCACATAACAATAAATAAACAAATAAAATAAAGGTGTTCATCTACAGCTAAAAACATACATTAAAAGAAACTAAATKTGTTGTCTATATGATGCCAAGATACTGGCATCAAAGTCCTTCCAATGACCTGTGCAAAATTCCTTGCATAGTGTGTTTATAGTAGATGTTAATAACAATCAAATTTAACTCACACTTGCARTCACTAATGGCCAAGTACTATATTCTTCAAAGTGCTGTATCCACTGCTCTGGTCTTCCTGAGGCYCCTATCATGCTCTGTGCAGGCAGGTAGTTGTATACTACCTGGTCTAGTTTCTCTCCTCTGTTGTTATTCTGTTGCTACAATTGCTCCTTGGTAAATAGCCATGGGGGACAATCCACAAAGCATGAAAGTTTATACGAGCCTATAGATTCTCTACTTTATGATGGGGAAGAAAGTTATTTAGGTTGATTGGAGGCTATTGCATCTGAGTATCACATTCTTTCTGAAAGGGAATTGATCAGCCCCAAGGGCCTGTCTCATTGATTATGACCTCTGTCTGTGATGGAAAGTAGATATTGCTACTCTTTTATAATTAAGGCAATAACTGTTTATTCTATGCCAGGCACTATGCTATGTAGGTTTTATGTATATCTTCATTCAACCTTTCACAGCCTTAGGGACTGGGTGTTATTATTCCCTGTTTGTAATTTTAGAAACTATATCATTGTGATAGCATGCCTCAGAGACCAARTCTTGATCAGCCAAATGAGAATTTTTAAATCAAGTCTGTTTGRTTTTAGAGACCATTCTCAGTCCATACCATATTGCCCCTCCCAGGAATAATAAAAGTTTCCTTTCCACTTACTCCATTTAGGTTGCCCTGTTCCTTCCATTCTGAAACTTTGAAGCAGGTTCTCAACAAATGCCCATTCCTATTTCAGGGGAACAGACTAAAGAATGTACAGGCACTTGGCTAATTCACCTGCTTGGATTTGTGCTGCTTTGTGCCTTCATGGTCACAGCTTGCAGCCCAGTAGAATTATTACAGAGACTGATGAGTAAAAAGCAAAGCCAGACAAATCTTAATGGTCTCTTGCATTTCATTATTAAGAGTTCTTCAAAGGTGCTGCTGCAGCAGCGTCAAAAGGAAGAAGAAAAAAATCTTTTGCTTTTCTTCTTCAAGGACAGGCAGTGGAGCAAAGAAAGTAAAAGAACAAGGGTCTAAGGCAGGAGAGAGCAGTTTACAGCTCAGCTGCTGCCCAGAAACACCTGAAACATTATTCTGAGCTAGCCCTGGCTGATGGTGAACAGATGGCCACATTAGGCAGGGCCCTTTTGGGATGTAGGTAGTCTGCTCATATGCTGTAGGGACAGGTGACCTGGCTGTTGCATCGYACAAACCTGCATACATCCCTGGCACGTGGTACAGAGCACACTGTCCTGTCTCCACTCAGAAACCCTAGACTTTCCAGATGGCAGCCTTTACCTCTGCACCAGAAAGGAAAGAGGTGTAAAGGTCAAAGAATCCTGGGTCCAGAGGCCTGAACACCCAGACCAGGCCTACACCCTGAAACGAAGGGCATACCAGGTATGTGGCAATTTCCTCCCCCTCCAGCTATTTTTCAATAGCCTATTTATGTGAATATTACATGAAAATTCTTACTTATAAAAATAGGTTCCTATTTTCAAATGCTTTTCTCTAGAGTCCCTAAAATTTAGGAGCCAAACTGACTAGCTCATCACATAAATAAAACATGTTCTGGGCCTCTTTGAGTCTGGTAGATTTTATTTACCTGGATTAGGCATCAGCCTTTTGTCTATTTTTAGTTTCAACTCAAAAAATATGTTTTAAAAAAACTTGTAGGAACACATGCAGATCCAAACCATTAACCTTAGCTCCAACAGAGATAACTCTCTTCTCCAAATGAAGTGGGAAGGAATCTCCCCAAATTACCTTCTATTGCTGCTTTGCTGCTTAGTGCCCAGAGCAACATATCCCACACCATATGTTGGGCRCCACCAGCCCCTACCCTCAACACTAAGCCTGGAACCTGCCTGTGGTCGAAGAAAGCAAATGCCTTTTCCCAAAGTAAAATTCAAGAAGTAACTGCTGCCTGGTCTCAGAGGGATATAAACATATTCAGAGCTTGGTTCATTAAACACAAAAATAAGGGAGTCATATTTCTTACGTGATTAGCATAAATTAAGACATCTTGACAATTCAGTGTGTATGTGTGTTTGTGTATACTTATATGCACACACTATTATGAATGTCTTATATGTATGAGTGTATGTCTCTCTCTCTCTATATATATATATATATTTTTTTTTTTTCCCTACATATACACCCAAGGTCAGGCTTCTGATGGTAATTTTTAATTCCAGCCTTGATATCTAATACATCTTCAATTAGTTTTATAGTCTCTGACTTTTGATTCTATCTTCTTGATACATATAACTGTAAATAAGAGAAAATTTGTTTAGACGGCAACATGGTTCAAATGGAGCCACATATCACAAAGTTGGGACAAAATTGTTCTCTGTAGACCTGGTTCAAGTTCACTGTATATAACTTGGTCAAGTCACTTCACTTTTTTACATTACAGTTTCCTCACCTAAAATGAAGAAATTAAATTAGAAGATCCCTAAGACTCTCTCTACTCTCACTGTTTGGGTAGTCAGCAAAATACACCAGAATACTAAATCCATATATACGCTTTTGGCGCTGTTTTCTTTCTGTACAAGTTGTACATGATTGCTCTTCTTCAACAGAATTGACTAATGATATTCTCATTCAACAAATATATTACCTAAGTGAAGTATATGAAGATCATGGGAAAAGAGATTTCAAGACCTAAAGATTTTTCCATTGATCAAACTGTGATAACATTTATGAAATTAAATCACATAGCAGTATTTTGCCTTCTAAAATTAGGTATAAAATGTTGTCAGAATTATTTACTTCAACTCACTTTATCAGTCATCTCTTTCCATGAGGGAGGCTGTGGCATAAATGGGAGCAGAAAGGCCTATATTTCAAAGGCTGTTTAATGTCACACTGTTCCATCAGAATTACTTGGAGAGCTGGCCATGGTGGTACCTTCTTGTAATCCCAGCAGCTAGGGAGGCTGAGGCAGGAGCATCAAAGTTCAAAGCCAGACTCAGCAATTCAGTGAGACCCTAAGGAACTTAGACCCCATCTCAAAATAAAAAATAAAAAGGGCACAGGATGTGGCTCAGTGGTTAAGTGCCCCCTGGGTTCAATCCATGGTACCAAAACAAAAACCAAAATTAGTTAAAGAGCTTTATTTTATATTATTATTTTAAATGTAGATATGGGGTTCTAGCCTAGACCTACTGTAGATTCTCTGGGGAAAGGAGTTAGGGACATAGCTTTTAAAAAATGGCTTGGTCAGGGGAAGGTTAGAGAACCAAATTCTAAGACATGGAAATGGGAGGAATTGCTTCAAGTGTCCAGTTTGGRGGCCTTGCTGGGAGGATGTTTGCATTTCAGGAAAGCAGATAACTGGGAACAGGTCAGCTGGTCTCTCTTAGAAATGTTGGTGCCCTCAGATAGGATCCTTTTGTGCATAAGCAACTTGGGTGGGCTGGATAGAGGTGCTGGGGCTGTCTAACTCTACTGCTTCCCTCTCTTCTTGTGCTATTTTTAAGTCTATTTCAGCACAGCTWTGCTGAAAGGCCAGGGAAGGGGAGGAATCCACCAAAATCAG